ATCTTTTGGAATAATTCATCAATTAGCACTGATATATTGTCTGTAATGATGTGTTCAAGACCAAGCCCATATCAGACATTTGAAATGTAGCTGCCAAAAAAATATTAGAGAAGTATCGTACTGCTAGATCACATAAAACAAGCAAAAAGGGAACATGTGGGAAGTGAAGCAAGCAAAGGGAACTATGTCAGTTTTGTAACTTTACACATACCTCTGCTTGAGCTCTGCCTGGACACTTAACACCACACAGCTGGTCAAGAAGGCCCAACGGTGGCTATACTTCCTGAGGAGGCTGAGGAGGTTTGGCATGTCGCCTAGGATCCTTTGCAACTTCTACAGCTGCATCATTGAGAGCATCTTGACCAGCTGCATCACTGTCTGGTACGGCAGCACTACTGCTATGGACTGCAAGCGCCTGCAGAGAGTGGTAAAGACTGCGGAGAAGATCACCAGGACTCCACTGCCCTCTCTGCAGAGCATTTACCACCGCAGGGTGCATAGGAACGCTGCCTCCATCCTCAAAGACCCCACCCACCCCCAGCATGGACTGTTCACCTTCCTACCCTCTGGCCGGAGGTTCAGAAGTGTGAAATGTAGGACCTCTAGACTGAAAAACTCTTTCTTTCCCTCTGCCATCAGACTCCTAAACAGCTGAGGAGTTTATTACCAGGAAATACGTCATGTACTGTTTACCTGTACTGTTTACATTCTCAGTTTGCACATACATAATTGCACACTGACTGTTGACTGCTGCACATGCTGCTCCCATGTAGCAAGCATTCTCTCATTATATTCTTATATCTTTGCATTTGCTGCTTAAAGTGCCTTAGATTTTGTGTTACTTATTTATCTACTTTATATTTCACTTGTATTGTGTGGCATTCATGTGGACAGCAAAGTAAGAATTTCATTGTACAGGGAAACACGTTTCCTAACTGTGCATATGACGAATAAACACTTTGACCTTTGATCTTTGAACGAGCTGGCTTCAAGTAGTACAGTTTGGAATTTGCAGTTTGTTTTACTGAAAACACGGATTTTGTTATGATATGTAGATCTGGAACCAGTCCATCCATTATTATCCTGTAGAGGGTCGCATGAATAAAAACTGTTAGGCAACAAAAATAGGCCCAGACATACAAGGTATAGCACCCAAAATAAATTTACTATGAAGTACATTGTGGTTGATTGTTCCTTCTACAGTCACTGTGAGTTGCTGAAGAGACGCACGATGTAAAGGAGCTCCTTCTGGAGCCCTCTCTGTCCACATCACCACATTCATCAATCTTCAGTAGGCGTTTGTGAAGGAGACTGTACAGAGAAGGAAGTAGTTGTCTGAACCTGGTGCATGCCAGGTCAGTCAGAGTAAGGTGAAACTCAGGTCGGCACACTGATTCCCTGCCAGTTGATGCCAATACAAGCTATCAGGCCAACTAGACAAGCCCCTTGACAAACTGCTCCACACTGCCAGAGTATCTCTGCTCTGCCAATACTAACTCCAAACTAATGATCACCTAATAGAAACCATAGATTACAACTGCACCTGTGTGTTTTTCTTTCTCCATTTATAAAATTTATATGGTCATAATGTATGGAATCCAATTAAATTTAGACCCAAGTGTCAGCAACACACCCTTAACAACCATCCAAAACTCACAAAAAAAAATGTTTTTATCATGGGAAGTGAATTTTCCTTGTTTTACAACCTAATCTCTTATAGTAATTTAGGTCACACTTCTTGTTACACACTGTCAATCGTGTAATTTATCATACAGTATCAGTTTTCAAAAATCACTTAAGTCTGTTAACTCGCTTAGCCATGAAAAAAACTAAAAACTAAAAAAGTAAAAGGCTTACTTCTCATCTGTACCAATGCAAACGCAGTCCTGTAATGTCATGTTGTGTGATGTAAGAATAGCATAGTTGCCTAACGGTAATTTATCACTCAGTCAGCGGAGAAACTGTCATCTTAGCTTTACATTGATGCAGCATTTGATTGATTTCTGTGAACTGCTTGGATGATATGGCTCACACAAAGAGTTTATTATAGCAAACCGAGCAGTACGGCTTCCCCTTCTGCTCCTTGAAGATGCCTTGGCTGAGCTGCCGCAGACAGAAGGCACACACAAAGTGCTCAGGGTGAAACTTTCGATTGAGAGCAGAGGTGCATCGGCCTGTGATGGGCTCACCACAGCCACCGCAGAGAGTGCCCTGTCGGAAGTGGAAGTGCAGTGAGCAGAGGGGTCGGCCGTCCAGCTCCATGAAAGACCCGTCAGTGAAGGGCTTCAGGCAGTCCTGGTTAAAAGAGGAAGATAGGGCAAGTGATGTGGCAAAGGATGGAGGAAAGAAGGGAGGATAAAGACAGGCAGAAAAATGGTTAAAGATGGTAATATGAAAGAATGGTGTAAAATTTGGACAAGAATATTGATTTAAAAAATAATATCAATGATTATTCACCATTTAGCTTCATTACCCACATAATGTTGCATTTGATGCTTTAAAACAACTTTAGTTCTGCATGAAAATTACATGTTTTTGAAATGGTCATCAGTGGATGTATTTCTCTTGTAGCTCCGTGCATTTTTGCTGCAGATCAGTACCTAACTCTGACTGCCAGAGTATGCTTGATTGACTAGATAAGGGACACTTTAAATATACAGTAATTTAGCCCCTGCTCACAAATGTATTCTCATACAATGATAACAAAGTCTGTTAAAACAAAGAGAAACCAAAGGCTACAGTTTCTATAACCTTGTGCTCTGCAGAAAATTTTGTTGTAATGTAAAGTACAACATGATTTACTGAAGCCTAAAAGAACTATGCCATTTTGTTTCTGTTAACAATCCATTAATAATCACTAGAACATAAACTAAATGGGCCTGTATAGGAGTGATGTCACATGTGGTCCTATGGTTAATTACAAGCATTTCTCTTGACAGACATTCTGGCTTGTCATAGCAGTAAAAGAACAAGTGTAAGTCTTAACATTAGTGATGGTTCTGTTCCACTTATATGTGGCTGAAGGCCATTACAGTGAGCCAACAGGCCCAATGCCACAGCCTCAGAACACCTGAATGGGCACATTCCATTAATTACAATACTGACGTATGTGTTTGACGACTCAAAAGGCTGACGGTACAAAAGTCCTTTTTGTCAGTGTTGGTGACATTGTTTCTTAAACCTCTATGTAGCTATACATACTGTAATTATAGATACTGTATGCTTGATCATTTTAGAGTCAAAGGTTTTTTAATACAGAGGAATATCAGCTCATTAGGGATTTGTAGGAAGCTAATGCCTGTCTTCTAATTATTCCAGTATGGTTGAGTCAGTGATCGCATTTTAACATTTTATGGTATGGAAATCTCTCTAGTGTTGACATGAACAAGTTGCAGTACAGCACAGCAAGAGTGGCCAAAAAGATCAAAGGTGCTAAATTGTATGAACTGCCTCTTGTTTTTTTTAGCAGCAGGTTGATTAAAAGGCTCGGCCACTTTGGAGTATCCACTTCATCCTTTTTACAGATTGTTTGACCTCTTGTCCTCTGGAGCTAGATTTAGGCTAACAAGGGCCAGGTACAACTCTGACCTTGCTGATAATGACTGCTCCGCATAACACAATGTTTAGGTTCTATGCTAAGGGGTGAGGAATGTAACTGCAGTAATGTTTTGGCACTCAGAGTTGGATGTATTCCATGCTTCATGTGATGCTGTTAACTGTAATTCTGAGTGGCCTGTTATGTATTTCATGTTTTTGGACATTGTATTTCAGTCAACTGCAATGTTTTATGGATCATAAAATATTAAAGTTGAAGTCACAACATCTCTGTTGAAAGAATTTTAAGTAAAACAATTGCTTGGAGCCGAGAAAAGCAGCAGTAGATCTGCACACTGAACCATTTTTGACCAGATGTTGCACACAGAAGTAGGCTTGAAGAGTATGTGAAGGGTACCCATACTGAGGAATATGGTTTCCTTGATTTATTTGCATCATTTCAACCACAACATATTCATCAGGCATAAGGTTTTCATCAGCCTTGTGGTGAAAATGTTACAAGAAAAGCAAATGTGTGGGTATCTTTCTCATTTATTCCCAGGCTTGTGTGCAAGCCAGAGTCGTGTGTGTGTGTGTGTGTGTGTGTGTGTGTGTGTGTGTGTGTGTGTGTGTGTGGTCTGAAGTAAGAGACTCACTGCGCAGACGAAGCACTCTGGATGCCAGGTGCCATTGGCTGCAGTCAGATAGTTCTCCCTCACTGACTCTCCACAACCTGAGCACTTGGGAGCAAAGAGGTGATAGAAGTCCTTGCAACAGTATGGCTTCCCATCTTTCTCTAGGAAACCTGGGACAGGTAAAAGGCAATCCTAATACATCAGTTATTTGCAGTTTGCTGAAGGTGCGCTTTCAAGTGAAGAGAAATGAATGCAGATGCCTCTCACCCTCAGGTCCAAACAGGCCTCCACAGTGTGTACAGAAGAAGTGCTCAGGGTGCCAGGTCTGGTCCAGGGCTGTCAGGATGTTCTGGTAAACCATATTACATCATGCTTTTACTTCATTTGAGGATTAATAAGGTTCATCTCATCTCATGTGTTTAGATGTCAGGAAACAGAAGAATGTGAGTTGTGAACCACATAAAGTAAATCATAGGAGAAGCTGCATTAGTTTTTGATTAATGACTTTGGTCTACAGCATACTGTGCACCCAGTCTGCAGAATCCCAATATGGTTTTGTGTTTCATTTATTAAGATGACATGTGGAATCTGCCTAGAAAAAATAACAGCATAATACTGGATGTCAACATCCAATCCTCAAAAGATTATAGTGTAAATAAATGAATATAATATGTGACAGAACAAATCAGAGGATGAGTCCAAAAACACAGGGGCAGCTGAATGTGAACAAATGCTGCATTTAAATGTAGGAGATGGGAATAATTATACTGTGTTGCCAAATGAGTTTGTTCTAGTTTTGTCTTGCATTAACCATGACATGCGCTGTAAAGGGAGTGATGCCTTCTCACCCGCATAATGGGGCCTTTGCAGTAGGCACAACGTGGCGAGAAGAGCTGATGGTAGTCTTTGTCACAGTATGGTCGTCCCTCTCTCTCAAAGAAACCTGTGGTGCTCAGCTCCATCTTGCACACAGCACACACAAAGTGTTCAGGGTGCCACACTTCACCCAGTGCTGTGATCATCTAGAAAGAAGAAGAGTGTCATTGTTTGAATTGCCACTAGGTTGCCAAGCTGTTATTTGCACTTAAATACAGATACATAATACCTGTACCTTTTGTTATGCAGAAACCTACAGTACATACATTTTAGTTCTTGCTCATTTGTTTATACGACTTACTGTACCTTTCCTACGATGCATTTATTGCAGGAAGCACAGTGGCCCTTGGCTATGGTGCGTACGCCAATCTTCTCCAAATCAGAGCTCAGCCCTCCTAGCAGGTCATCTATCGTATCTGTTTTCTTGTTCGCAGTCGAGGCCTGTGGATCTGAACCTGCTGTGCTGCTGCTCTCCTTGTTCTCTTCTTGTGCACCTTCTCTTTTCTTTTTCACAGACTGCTTTTGTGTCAGTGGTGGCAGATCCTGAATGATAATACAAATAAGCACAAATAGCTGTTGTTTTTAGCTATATATCTGATATATGTATTTTTTTAAAGGTCAGTGCTTAGCACTGCTGCTACAGTATGTTGAAATTCCACTACTTGAGGTTGTTGATATTAGTACAATGCTGCCCTCTGTTGTCAAACCAGGTTAATTTCACTCATGTTGGGGAAGTTTCTTTACTGTTCTCTCTCAATGTCTTCATCAAGATTTCCTGGAATTTATTCTTTAACATGCAGAAATAGTACTTAATTGATAACACTCTTATTATGGGACTTGCAGAAACTATACTGACCCCTTGTCCCAAACCCAGCATATCTTCCAAGATGGAGTCCAGCTCCTTAGTGGGCGAGTCAGGTTCCAGAGAAGCTGCAACAGGAGCAGGCAGCTCACTAAATCCCAGAGAAAGGCAAAATTAGAAATTAGAGTATACTATTTGAAATTCTGTCTCCAATAACAGTGATTATCCCATGACTTCTGTATAATCATTTGTTTTAAGGGAAAATCTATGGCATTATTTTGTGCCCAACTGAATTGGGTCTCTGAACATACTGTATAGTAATCCAGGGTCCCTGATGATGTTATATCATAAGTATACATGAAAACCTACAAAGAAATAGCTATAGCCAAACAGGGCAACAGGTAATGTTTCAGCTTTATTCTGCACTGCTGTTCTTCTGTAAGATCTGTCAAATGTTCCAGTAAAAGATAGTCCTGGTATTAAAGTTCAAAGCAGACAGTTACACCATCAATAAGATCTTTGTGTACAGTAAAATGTTTTATAACTGAAATAACTTAGCTTTGAAATTTTATGTGTGAACCTCAAGTATTTTCCTACTTCCTCTACACAGCTCATACAATGGTTATGTGCATTATGGGCCTTAAGCCTGAAATTCACCTGTAGACATTTGAGCAGGCTGTGCCTCTTTTACTCTTGGTAAGTCCAGCACAAACTCTACCAGGCGCCTGCAGATACATAACCAAAATATTCTGGGGTTACTGAAGTACAACTGAAATATGTGCCGATTGAGTAGGCTATAGTGTACGTCTGTATTTTTAGCAGGTTTGTCTTCACCTCTCTATCAGCAGGATTGCTCCTGTTCTCACTGACAGTCTCTGAACTAGCTGAATTCAGGGCCAGTTCTTCCAACAGCAAATCTGTGGCAGGAGACAGGACATAAATCTTCTAACCACACATATAAACCATGTTCTTGCAGTCATGCACGCATATGCAGTTTTTATGGTTCAACGAGAGGGTGTGTAGTTTTTGTGTAAAGTGAAATGCTTGTATTTCCTGTTGATGGAGAAAGAGTGCACCTTGTTACAGAGATCAAGCTTTGTGGTTGCTTCATGCAAGTCAGCTTCCTGAGGACGTTATGGTGCAATACATTGCAGAAGTGAAACTCTTATTAATGTTGCAAGACTATGGCAACAAACCTACACTAGATTCAATGCTCTCCTCCACACTTTTAAGAAAACTGGAAGATATTTGTATGATTAATTATCAGGACAGAAAATGTGGTTGAAAAAGGAAAATGTTCAGCTGCACTGTTCTTTGAAAATATGAACAGTGTCATCCCAAGGCTTGCAAGACACATGTTGTAAGTTTAGATGATGAATAAAGTCCTATCCTCTATCTTATTTAATGTGTTTAATGTTTATTTTACCGTGGTAGTCTGTTGAAGGCAGGGCTTTTTTAAGAGTCACTACAAATGAACTACTTTTAAAATTACTTTCAATGATCTGCACTGCTGAGTATAGTAAATACTTATCTTATTCCAACATTATTTTCCACCATTATTTTCAAGCCAATTGTAAATTGTAGCACATTGTACTGATGTAATTACAAGAACATCGTTGTCTGTTCGCTGATCAACAGTGTAAAGCGTGAAAGAAAGTTGTCTTACCGAGCTCATCCATGTTGGTTCCTGTTCTCAGTGCAATACCTCCTTGAGTGTGTGTTGTCTACTGCTCATTGTAGTTACTAAGGCAACTACCCAATTTCACATACAATCGAAGCTGCCACTTCCTCTGACAATGGCTTATTTTGGTTAGTTACTGTGTTCAAGGTATATTCATATTTAATATGAGGTATTGCTGTTTCTTTCCTGAGAAAATGAAAAACATTTTTAGAATTGTGGAATAACTGTCTTTTATACTCAGTTATTAAATTTATTTGTCTGATACAACTTGTAATAAACTGTTAATTGAGCTTTCATGTATGTGTATATTAGGCTGCATATGTACAGTATATGACAATAAGACAATGCATTCACAGCAATGAAAACATAATTTCACCTTCAGATGGTATCTAAGTGTTTGTAAGGCAAGACATTTATTTGCATAATCTTTTTTCAAACCCATGGCAATTGCTTTACATAAACATGCATTTAAAATACAATGAAGAAAAAAGTGATTTTTGTTCAATTTAAATAAAATAAAATAAAGTAAAACATGGCAAAAAACAGACTAGAAAGGTCACTGCTCTTTCAGCATCTCTTTAGTACTAATCCATACACCACTGATACAGAAAATAAGATTATATAATTATGAATAACTTGTTAGTTAACTTCATTAACAATCAGTACCCTGTACAAAAAACAGAAACATCAAATATAAAGTGGTAGATATGCAGTGTTGTAAACATTTCCATGCAACGTCAACTTCCATACAGGCATATACATACTATAGATTGTTTTAGAATACAGTAAGAATATAGTTTTATCTACATATGCATTTTAATTTTTTATCTTTCTGTGTGCACTCTTCATGCATTTTAATGTTTTATCCATCTGTGTGCACTTTGAACTGCCATTGCATATGAAAATGTGCTATATAAACTTGCTGCTATATAAATAAACATTTTAACAACCCATGCTGGTTGTCCATGTAACACAACCCTATTTACAAAGCAGATAAATCGTAAAGAAAAAGAATAGAACATTGCATGAGAGAAACAGTGTTTGCATTATTTACTTAATGGCACTAAAGGTTATGCACCCTCCTGTCTACAGCAGACGCTAGGAGCAGACAGGCCCTTCTAGTGTTTCTTAGCAGTGATTTTGCATATCTTGGTGTATATTTTGTGTATCTTTGAGGTAGTTTTGTGTCTTTTGTACTCATTCTGTCTGTTTGTGCTAGGCCATTTAAGCGATTGTAGGTGTTTTGTGGGGTAGCTCTGTAATAATTTAGTGTTTCTTTGCCGTTCTTTTGCTTGTAGGTGAGGTTGTCTCATTTTCCGTCTTTGTATTCTGTTTGTCTTTATATGTATAGCTTTGTCTCATTTTGTCTCTTTATTGTAGTTTGTCTCAATTTATTGATTAAATCGGAATTGTATGAACTATTGTTATCACTACTAGATGAGGTTCGTGGCTCAGTGGTCTAAGGATAAAGAAGCTTAATTTGTCATGGAATCATGTTTTTTTTAATTATTATTATTATTTCTAAATAGCTTCCCAACTTTGTCAAACTGGTCACCTAACCCCCCTATAGAATCTCATTTCCTAATACCAGACAACCATTTTTGAGAAGTGTATGATTGTTTCTAATTGTCACCATATGGCTTTTCTTCTGCTACCTGCGTTATCTCGCACCACTTCAGTTGCAACCATTAGCTTTTAGAGAGGGTGATTCGTTGTTTGATCTGAATTTAAAAACCTCAAATTAAGCCAGTTAATAGGTACGCTTATGAATATATATATATTAAAGTATAAAATAGTTTTCACAAAATGTTAAGCAAACATCAGTATCTTATTTCTTTCAATTTTGAAAGTAAATCTGCCCCCTACGCCGTGGTTTCGCCTCTTACCGGAAGAGCTTGTGTTTACAGCGCAATTGTTGCTTCACGCTAGCATCATTAGTTTGACAAGCTGTGAATAGGGGTTATCTTGTGGTTTTCGGTTTTTGTAAAACCCTGTTTGTTAGAATTGTGGCATAGCTCGATTAACATGATTGTTTGTAGGTGGAAGAGCGACCGACAATGACCAGCTGGCTAACGTAACGCCGCGGTCAGGCAGCTAACAACACTAAGCTAGCTAACTTCTCACACATCAAGGTACATAGAGCACAGTGAAACAGGTAGCAGTATGTCGATTCACTTTTTGTCGAGCATTTATAGCTGCACACTTAACGACTGGCAGGCTCTCATTGCCACATATCACGTTTGACGTGCGTCTTTTACGTCCCTTTGCCCCCACAGTTCTCCAGGTCAAGGAGCAATCCGGGCCATGGGTGCGGAGAGTAGCGCCGTGCGAAGCTGCACCCTGGAGGAGCCGCTCCTCACTCTGCCGTCGGGGCTTACTATGTATTCGGCGATGCTCCAGGGTGGAAAGTCCGCTTCTGTGTTTGTCCACAAGCGGGGCAATGAAGACAAAGTCAACAAAGCTGCTAAGGTAACGTTAGTTATACTGAAGCCACGTCCTAATACCATCTCACATTAGCAGGGGCTGCTTTGTGGTAACAGATATGCAGTAGTTTAGTCCACATGGTTAATTCAGGTTTGTGTGTGTGTGAATGATGCAGTTCTCTGGTAAATGTCGAATAATTGGTCTGCAGAAAACCCATCATATTTTTTATCAGCAACATGAAATTAAATATTTTCTTGTATTGTGCACTACTGTAGTATTGAAACCACCAAGAGATGTGCTTGTACTTTCCATAGACCATATACTTTCATTTCCTGCAGCACCTGAAGACCTTGAGGCACCCGTGTCTGTTGCGTTTTTTGTCCTGCTCAGTGCAGGATGGCGGCATCCACCTGGTGACGGAGCCTGTGCAGCCCCTGGAGCTGCTGCTGGACAGTCTCTCTCCAGAGGAAATCTGTGCAGGCATCTATGACCTCCTGCAGGCACTTGTCTTTCTGCATGAGAGGGTGAGCAAAAAGAAGATGATGGTGCTCCTTTTGCTCCCAAGTCACCCCTGTATGTGAATGCATGTGATTAAAAAATGATGGAACAAAAACCAGTTCACTTGAAGACATTGCTTTAGAAGTAACTACTTAGGCGGTGTTTCACCTTTCATGTCAATGACCATTTGGTGCCTGTGTGTCCTTTTTTCTGAGTGAAACATGCATAAGTTCCTAACCTGTCGCCTTCTTCCACCAGGGCAAATCAAGCCACAACAATGTCTGTATTTCATCTGTATTTGTCAGTGAAGATGGTCATTGGAAACTGGGAGGAATGGAAACCGTGTGCAAGTTCTCTGAAGCAACTCCCGAGGTGAGAAGTAGATTAAAACAAATGCATTCCCAAGAAGCACTCTGTGTGTCTAAAAATGAAAGGCACCTACAGTAGATCAGATATTTTGTAGATTCATTTGCCATATATCAGCTTTGTTATGTTTGGTTTGCTTCAACTCCTCAGTTTCTCACAAGCATTCAGAATGTGAGAGAAATCAGCTGTGTTCCTCCAGAAGAGCAGGTAAGCAGATCAAATTATGTCCCTCTATTCTATATATGTGTTTGTTTTTATTAATGTTAAATTGATTGCTAGGTATGGCATAGTCACTTGGCACATCCACCAATAATTCTGTTTTTAAGTGTTGTGGTTTCAGTTCCACATCACTTTATTGTGTATTGTGAGGCATTGTTTTGTTTGTGTTCTGTGTGTTGTATTGTTTTGATTGTTGAATTGTATCTGTTATGTGAGGCACTTGCATCAAGCTAGTGGTTGTTGGAAAGTGCAGTATAAATAAACTTCGATTTGATCAAAGGTCATGGCAATAAATTGAGTTCTCTTTATGTTCGTACATTCTCATGAACCATGTTCTCTGCAGATTGAGGGGTTTCAAATGCTTCCAGATAAACATGCTCACTCTCGGGATTGTTATTCTTTTGGAATGATGGTGGAGACCCTTATTCCTCTCCTTAATGGCTATGGTGAGTAGACATGACCTCATGACCTCAACCCTTATGTTACATCTTGTTAAATTTTAGCTCAGTGTACATTCTCCTACACCTGTTAACCCCCTCTTCCCTTTGTTTTTTCCAGTGTCACAGGAGTTGTCCGACAGTTTGACGAAGACCCTGCAGATGGGCCCGCTGAACTCTGACCCCTTGTCTCGACCTCCGCTCAGCTCCCTGCTCATTCATGACTTTTTCAGGTTTGTGTGATCATGTTTGGTTTTGCTGTTATTGGAACATACTGAAAATAATTTGTTTTCAAACACGGTTTTTTTCCTCTGGCTAGAAATGACTTTCTGGAAGTGATGAATTTTTTGAAGAGCCTAACCCTGAAGATGGAAGAAGAAAAGAATGAATTCTTCAAGTGAGAAACAATATGTTCTCCATGTTTTACATATGATCTTGTTTGTTCAGTGCTCTTTTGGTATCAATGCACTGTCTTCATATATGAGTTGTATGTTGTTTTCCAAGGCAGTCTACAGTTTTCAGTTAGATATAATTCTCTCAGAATTCTGGTGTTTTTGTGTAATTGTGTTTTAATTTAGTTAGATGATAAACACAAATAGGAATTTGAAGTAGTTTCCTATATGCCCTCATTAAATAATTATATTATAATTTTAAATACACCTTATTTTGCCCAAGTTCCTTAACATACTGGTTGTGTGTTTTGTAGGTTTCTTCTAGACCGGGTCCAGAGTCTCCCTGAAGAGCTGATAGCGGCACGCCTTGTCCCCAAACTCCTTAACTCGCTTGTTTTCGCAGAACCAATGGCTGTAAAAAGCTTCCTGCCTCATCTTTTAAGGCCAAAGAATGGTAAGATAGCATTATATTATGTAACTCTTTCTCTTGCTGCTAAATAGTGCTGGGTGTTAGGACCAAAAATTGTATTGCAGTATTTTTAAGATTTTGGCAGTTTCACAGTATATCACAGTAGCTTAGTTTTTTGCACCACTGGGTCTTTATATATGTTTATGGTATATTCTACTGTCAAGAGTAGCCTACTTAGAATACAAAAAATAAGAAATATTCTAGCCTGCTAACTCAAACATTAATGAAAACACCATTCATTTTTGAAAACATAACAAAGTTTTAAATATTTGTTTTTAGGCTATTAATAACATAATGTGGCACATTTAATTGTGTATTACTTCAAAAACAAATTGTTTAATTAATACAAATATTTGCTTTCTTTCTTTCTATTTATAAATACCTACAGCAAGCCTGCGTCCAAAGTACTGTCTTTTCCAGTCATTCAGGTGGCCTGCTATCACAGTGTTGATCCCACTGTCAGTTGTTAGCAAAGATACAGTATGTACACAGTGTATTTATCGATGAGATTTTAGGGCAGACTGCCTCAACTACTAATCCTTGTACAATTGTTTGTTCAGTGTGGTTGTTCAGGAAATGTTACATTTGCAAACAGTAGCTGCACAACTCAAAGTCATCATTGAAAGTGCACCATTATGAGGTATCACTCCATTGTGCGACTTGACCACAGGTCTGTTATAGAAAACTAAACGAGGGCACATATTTTATTTAGTTAGAAAGTTTGCTTGTGTTGCCAACAGCACAGCATGCCTCAATATACAGTCCTTCTGTCTGGTTTTAAAACCAAAAACATCCAAACTGCAGACACAGCTCCTCTCTTGGATAAAATTTCCGATCCCACTTTCTTAATCCTCCATCTGTTTGCTGTTCTTTAGTCTACCATAGCGACACAGCCTCTACCAGCTATTAACAGGCTTTTATGCTACCTGGCTAGCTAGCAAGCTGTTACCCATTTGTAAATGTAGATTTTATCATTACAAGCTGTTTTGCCCTATTAAAGAGAGTAAGCTGTGGGTAATTAGTTGCTGTGTTATAAAGCTGTAACCATTAGTAAGATGGATAAGCACAGTTGATAAGGGTCCACTCTCAGTACATCCTGGTTAAGTCCAAAGCCTTTCTAGTGTAATCAGCTGTTGACTGAAGTTTTACAGCTGTGGGTTCAGTTCTGCTATGGTATGGTGGTATATGAAAACTTCATACATTAGGTGAAATGAAAACTAAAGTTACAGGATGAACAGGTATACCAGTTGCACTACTGGTTACAGTGCTGCCAAATATAACTCAGCTCTTCTAATCCCCTATCAAAGAGGTGTGTACTGTGTCTTTCAGGTGTGACCGCTGTGAAAAACTGTTTGTTGGTAATGCTTCTCTTCTTTATTTTGTCAATGTTCAATGTTGACAGATTCTAGTGGTGGTGGCAGCAGTGAGGAATGCCTGCTGTCTGTGTCCCTTTACCGTAAACATGTGATTCCTCAGCTTCTCAAGCTCTTCAAGGTCAATGAGGAACATGTTCGGATCGTGCTGCTGGCTCACATCCACATCTACGCTGAGTTCTTCTCCCACGATGAACTCAAAAACCAGATCCTGCCTCAGGTGGCGTGTCAATATAGTAGCATGGGTTTTAACTTTATCAGTGGTGAACAGTGAGCTAGGTTTACCACTCTATGATCAATACCTTTTGAGCGAGAGCCAGGAGGAGATTATCTTAGTGTAGCATAAAGACAGGAAGCAGGGGGAAACAGCTAACCCGGCTTACTCCAACAGTGTCACACTAGTGTTTTAGTACCTAAAAATTGAGTATGGCACACAACACAAGAAGAATATGGGGCTTGAAGCAAGTAAAAATTCTGTGCCTGAAATGTGGTTTTCAAGGGGTTGATTTTGGAGTCAAAGAGGGGGGTGATTCTGAGATGCTGGAACACACTGTTGAGCCTTCTCGGTGTTGTGAGCCCAACTCAGTGAAGCACCGGTTAGTGAGAGGGTGCCTACCTGATGACCCTGTAGACTTAACTTGTGTTGGTGATAATATAGTTACAGACTCACTGGAATTGTTAATAGTATTCTTTTGTTAAACAGTTTTGGTAGAACAGTGTCAGCAGTTGGACAACTGAGCAGACCCGACTCTCAGAAGTGACTGCCATTATAGGCCTGTTGGGCCAGCCACTGCCTAACCAGAGCAAATACAATACAGATGCTGTGTGTCAAGCCACATACAGTATCTGCTCTAGGCTAGAACAGGGCAACTGTTGTCAAACTATTGTCAGATTAGTCCAAAGCTTGTGGTGACCAAAATAAACTGACAACCTATTCATTTCAACTTTTCTTTAGAGTAATGTAGTCATGTGCATTTCTGAGCTGACATTTCACCAGGCCACAAAGTCAGCAAAAGTTTTTTATTAATACAATATAGACGATTCCATATGGCTCTTCAATACAGCCATGTTTTTGCTATGTGACAGTTAAAAATGCATAATTTTTTTCCATAAACATATAGCCTAATTATTTTCTAATCTAAAATGACCCCACTCCGGAATTTTGGCACATTGCTGGAAAACTTTAAGCCCTGAGAATATATATATATATTTCTTATCTGAATGTTCTTCTGTAATTGTCTTATTTACATAATATCTGTTTGTTTGTCCTGCTGCAGGTTTTGTTAGGAATGCGAGACACCAGTGACTCTCTGGTTGCCATGACGCTGCAGAGTCTGGCAGTGTTGGTGCCCTTGCTTGGGGCTCAAGTGGTGGTCGGAGGAGAGCGAACCAAGGTTTTTAAACGCACCACACCCAGCTTCACCAAATCTACAGAAGTCACCCCTGAAAGTAAGCAACACTGGCTTAACAGTGAAAAGAAAATTAAAATGGTTGCATCAGTAATGTCTGATTATAACTGCAGATAAAGGTATTGGTTAAAAAGTCCATTTTATAACCACCTGGTCATCAGTACAGGGATGATCAGGCTAATATGACTGCAGGAGGAATCCTTCCAGCAGTATTTTGGATAAGCTGAAGGCACAAGGAAGTACAGGGCACCGGTGTTATCATGCTGTTAACGTGTGTCACGAGGGTGTTGCTTAAAGGATCTGCATGCTCAGAAAGCCATTTATGGATTAATGAAGGGAAAAGAGCAACATTTAGTAAACTTGAAACTTGTTTTCTCTGTCTCTTATCATTTCACTTTTAGCTTCACCAGTCCATATAGTTGGAGTCTCTCAGCCTCAGCTGGCTCAGCCCTCTAAAGTCTTGAATTTATTTGCCAGATCATCAGAAACTAAAGGTCTGGTCCTGAATAATATGAATAGCTTAGCAAGTAATCGAGAAACTCCACGAAGTTATCCCCTGGTAACAAAACCAGGTATGACACCCCCCACCGCCCAAGTCATACTAATATCAATTTAGAGTTTGATGTTACTGTACCTGAACCTCAGCCTGTCTTTTCTGATGTTTCAGACATAAGTAGACAGTTGTCTCTACCTTTGAATGGTCTTCATCAGGACAGTGAGATTGAGCCAGCATCATACAGCCCAGAGCAGCCAGATAGACTAGAGGGCCCAGTGGATGACTGGCCTGACTGGAACAACCCTGAAGAAAGTGAAAACAGAGCTAGACAGTCAGTCCAGATTCATATTCAGGCCTCAGAGAGACTGGACTCAGTCAACAGCAGACTGCCACTCTCACAGCACAAAATGATGGATGAGCCATGGGATGACCTTGAGGACACTGAACCTACCTCAGATCTCTCCCCTACAGCTCCTTTATCAGACCCAGTTATACTCACACCACCCCGAGGGGGCACTGCTACTCCACATGTAAAACATGCTCCTGAGGCAATGAGACTGGGATCCTCCAGACCCCTCAGATTGACCTCAACACTGCAGCAATCCACACAGAGCAAGACCATGTCCTCATGGGACAATGGATGGGCTCAAGAGCAGAGGGACTTTGAGAACTCACACAGTTCATTAAACCTCAAACTCAAACCTACGGTGCCACAAAAGACTGGTGGAATAGGAGGTCTGGGGGAGGAGTTCACCATTAAAGTGAAGAAAAAGGTAGAGCAAGACCCAGAGCTAGATTTATTTGCTGACATGGTGCCAGACATCAAGTTGTCCTCTTCAGCTCTGCTGCCACTGGAAGAGAGCAGTATAAGTGACACTGGACTGTCTACAGCGTCATTGGAAACCACTAAATCACTGCAGGTTGACCCATCCATCGATACTGTAACACTCACTGCCAAGTTTGCAGCTGCCAACCCGATGGAGGTGAGTGTGTTTGGTGTTTTTCAAATTTTGTTCTTCGGGATTTAGATAAAAGGTCATGTTTTTACTGTAATTTCCAGACTATAAGCCGCACCCACTAAATGTAAGACGAAAAAACATGTTGTACATAGCCGCAGGTGTCCACGTTGTAACATGAGATAGTTCGACAGCCAGATCCATCGCCTGTAACTTGAAGCGGCATCATATGCATTTCGTCGTGTGTTGTCCATAATGAGGGTGTGTGCATGAAGCAACAAAAGTAGCGGCTTATAGTCTGGAAAGTACGGTAAGTTGGATGTAGGGCAAACCATTGTGCCCGAGTACTTTGAACAGCACTTATTTCTTACATATAGCATATAATACTAGAGTTAGAGCTGCAAAATGGAAGATTGAGTGGTTTCTAAACTTTTTTCATTGTGATGCCTAAGCATGAAGCAAGGTCTGCCTGCAACCCCTCATTATAGGACACATTTTTATATGTTTTTGGAAACTCTATAAATTGTTTTCCTCATAGGCGTTTCATTTTATTAGTTTAGGAGATGGTAAACTGTATTGTTTCTTATAAAAAGAAATGGTGGATTAGGAAAAAATCAGAAAATTCAAGATGAATTTTGCTGCAGTTTCTACTTGGATCTTTTTCCTACCCTGGTAATCTTGTGAAGCACTGCATTACATTTACATTCTTCTGTTTAGTCACCCATCTGTCTGGAAGTAAGATGTAAAAAGTTGGATGGATGATGAGCAGCCAGGCTGCCGTGATTATTGGTCAAACCAAGATTAATAATCAATATGGCAGACCTTTGGTAAAGAAAAAAAAAAAAATCACAACCTACAATTGTTAATAAGACCGGAAGCAGTTTGAATTGATGTAATTATATAAAAACCCAAACCAGAGAGAGGTTGTAATCATTACTGTAAAGTTACCATTTCTGTACTGTTTATAGCTGCATAGGCATTCACAGAAGTTTTTTTTCTGCCACTTACGAACTTGCTTCTCATTGATGATCATTGTTTAGATTAAATTTTTTTTTCTCTTTCTCTCAAAGATGGAAACAGATGGCTGGGGAGATGGAGACGACCTCAACTGGGAGGATGAAAATGCCTGGTGATGGCGTCTGATCCATTAGCAAAAGTGATAAACACTTCACCAGAGGCTGTACATTTCTCCAGTTCTCATTTAACATGATGCAGTAAGAAGAGAGGTGGGTTAAGACTTCTGATACCCCATTCTCTCAGTCCCCAGACATTTATTGCCAGTATGTTCTTTAAGATGACTTATTTGTGAAAGGATTGAATGATTATCAGATGGTGCTAGATCTGGATCTAAATGAAGCCATTCTTAAAATGTTTGCCAAGTGATACTAGTTGCCTCAAGATGAATGAGGAGCTCAATCAGAGGTAAAATGTCATCCTTTTCCATCTGCTTTTTTTTTTTTATTGCACAAATTTCACTACAGACATGAAGTTCATGATACACTTTTTAACAAGGCAAAAAATGCATCCGGTTTGATTTGCAGAGGGCTTGTAAATGTGAAATAGAAATTACATAATTTATTAGTCGACCTGCCCATTGTGTACCTCACCTCACCCGATGTCCCCTGAGATTGGCTCCAGCCCTCCCACAACCCTCTTTAGGACAAGCAAGATGGATGGATGGATAATTTATTAGTAGCTTTTTGGTTGCTGGTGAAATAAAGGTGTTACTTTATCAGATGCAGCATTGTTCTTTATTACAGTAGCAACATTTTGCAACTTTACCTTTATAAAGGGTTAGGGTTAGTTGTTCAGGACTCCCAATGGTACATGGTTTCAGAAACACGCTAACAGAAAAGCCTCCAACGCAGTGTGGGTGTCTTATACAGGAATTTCTTATTCTGCTGTAACCTCCCAGGTAGTGAAGACTCCTCTTGTACTTAGAGCTAAATGACAACAAATCAATGTGCTGTATTCAAACAAATTTAATAAAGTTACATAAATCGACTGATGGTTTTAAAAAGTGAAAGGTATACAGATTTCCACAGGGCCAGACTGAGTAAATAGTTTTTATATATAGAGGTGAGCAGTCTGGGGCCGGAAAACAAACTGGAGCTGCTAGGTTGTGTGACTGGCTGTACTGATGTGGGTGATGAGGGTCTGTAGCTCCTGTAGTCTGGATTCAAACCACTGTGGAGGTGGTGCAGCGTTATGGGCTTTACCGTCAACGAGAGCCAGAAGGGCCTTTAAAGAGCTCTCAGCTGTCTGGATGTAACGGCTGTACTCCTCTGTACTAGTCTCCTGTCGAGCTTTCTTTGGGCAGGGCTGAGGGAGGAATAATTACAGATGGAAAATATCCATGCTTCATGAATGAAGTCTTGCATGTAAAGTAACTTTCCACCACTTGGAAAACTGGTGTGTTATCCTGATTACACTGACCAGTGATCACAGAAGAGGATCAAATCAATGACAAGAAATCACTACAAAATGTTTTCTGTGCTCTGGCCTTCATCAGCATCACAATCATGCAGTGGTGCAGCTGCCTTTTTAATTGTGCCTGCAGGTGACATGCATATACATGACTGCCTAGTTCAATGCTAATTACTTGGAGAGGAATCATCTGAATGTGCTATTTAAAAGGCAGCTTCACTGTGTGATTACGACACTGATGAAGGCTGGATGAAGAAAAACCTTCTCTTCATGAAGGCTACTCTTGTCACTGCTTAGTGAAGTTAATGCTGAGCTACTAAATATTTACATTAGTATTGCAAACATTTAAATCCTGTTAATTGGCATTTATATTAAAATATGAGAGAAATCCCCTTCTTCCTTTCCTTCCCTGTTAACTCAGATAAAGATGGAATATAATACCCTGAAGCAAGGCTAGGCATGAGCATGCATCAGGAAAACTTATTAATGCATTTTAAGTTAATTTACTGATGTTACTAACCTCTGTATCAGCAATGGCTTCAGCAGCCAGTTTGTTAGGAACGTTGTCTGTGTTGTATTCCAGCTTCTCATTGTGTTCCTCAATCACTGGTGTCTCCAGCTTGAGCCTCTTTAACCGTGATTCCTCATCTTCTTGTGCATTCACAGTCTACAGCAAAACAGTGTTCCCCCTCTGTTTTATTTTAGGTATATACCCACCAGTCACTTTATTAGGTATGCCTGTACAATTGTATGGTAATTCAGTGCAACACTTCTACCTTAACAGCTGTGTTTATGAAGTTCAAAAAGTTTGTTTTCGGTGAAATTGAATGTCATACTCTGTAGTTTTCCTTGGACCCCTACCCACTCAGACTAGTGATGACACGTTTAGCCGCATGTCATCATTCAACTGCTGGCTGTCTAGGTGTCCAGAAAACGATGTGGGCTTCATAGGCAATTGGAAAACATTTTAGGGAAAACATTTTAGGGAAAACCTTGTGTGATTAGCAGAGACGGCATCCATCCCACTTTGGGTGGTGCAGCTCTCTTATCTAGAAATCTGGACGAGTTTGTTTTACAACCTAAATTATGACAACCCAGAGTTGAGACCATGACACTGAGTTGCAATCTTACATGCCCCTCTGCAGTCTCTTTGCAGCTGCTACCCACCCAAAACTCGCAGTACCTTCATAGAGACCGTCTGCCCCCCCCCACCTAAATCAAAAATCAACTCAAGAGGAGTTATTTACAAGAACTTAATCAAAATTAAGACTACTCCTCTTATATAACAAAATAACAGAACAATCAAATGTGGACTATTAAATATCACATCCCTCTCGTCTAAAACTCTGTTAGTGAATGGTTTGATTAGTGAGCATCAAACTGATATAGTGTCTTACTAAAACCTGGTTATAGCAGGAAGAATATGCTGGTATAAATCAATCCACCCCACCTAGTCATAGTTAACTGTTGCATCCCTCGAAGCACAGGCCGAGGTGGAAGTGTGGCAGCAATCTTTGACTCAAGCCTATTAATCAACCCTAGACCTAAATATACTGTAGCTATAACTCAATTCAAAGCCTTACTCTGAGTCTCTCACACCCAAACTGGAAAATTTAAAAATGAGTTCTATTTGTTATTGTATACCAGCCACCTGCCCCTGATTCAGAGTTTCTAACTGTATTCTCAGATTAATAATTAAATAATAATTGCATATGGTAAATGGACTGTCTTTATATAGCTCATTTGCACAGTGTGTTACACTGGCCAAAGCGCTTTACAGAGATGATAGAACATTCACACACCGATGACGACAGCTGCCACACAACGGCGCTAATCAAGCCACCGGGAGCAATTCGGGGTTCAGTGTCTTGCTCAGGGACACTTAGGCATGCGGGGAGACCGGGAGTCGAACCACCAACTTGCTGGTCAGGAGACGACTGCCCTACCTCATGAGTCACAGCCACCCCATATATACATTTATTTCACCCAAAACTGAGAGTTTCATAAACACTAGGGGTATAAAGATAAACCGATACAAATAAAAAAAATTGATTCAAGAGTCAGATTTAAGGCTGCATCTGTTGAAAACCACAGATTCAAACCAAATAAGTAAAAAAAAAAAAAATAAAAAAAAAAAGTGCTCTAAAATCGATATAGACCTCATAAACTGATATTAGCCGAGTTTTCTGGTAGTTCTCGCTGTGCTCCGCTCTAGGTGGTCAAACACGCCTCCTTAATGACGCAGGTCCAGGAAAAAAGGCGCACACAGGACAAAGATACTGTAGCTGCAGGAGCAAACGGTGCTAGTCTTAGCAGCTACCTCAGAGTGCAGAACATGCAACGCTTTTGTTGAGTAGCCTATACCTGGAGTACCACTGACCTCACAAGTAGAAATGTTATGAAGGCAACATATTGTTGAACAGATGGAAAATGTACAGTTTACTACTACAGTCATCTTGAGGCAAGCAACAGAGCTAGTGTTGTTAGCAGCTAATTTCAAAAGTTCATCTGATAATTCCACCCGGTTAGATTGAAGTCAGTAACTGAAGCTGTAAGTTATTTCATTTGCAAAGACACACGCCTGGGTTGTTGACAATGTGGGTTTTGGACAAATGACAGTGACTCTGAAACTGACACAGTAACAAGTCACCAGGGAATGATAAGGTAAAACAGCAGCTGGAGATTTACTGTTCACCAGTGCCCAGTGTTTACTACTGTTAAAAAAAATAAAATAAAAAGAGTAGACATGTTTTATCTATTTGGCTTTTACACACCCCTAACAAAGATCTCAAAGCGGAAGTGTTGCATACAATTGTGCAGGTGTACCTAATAAAGTGGCCGGTGAGTGTATTATCACAGTATGTTGGCATTCCTTACCTTACTAAGATAATTCACCACCTTAGTCTTGTTTTCTTCTACACACAGACTCTGGGCAATGACTTCCTCGTGATTTGTATTCTTAAATACCAAAAGGAGAAATGAATGTTATATTAAGGTATTGACGGTATACAGCGCAACAGGATTCCTGCCATACCTCTGCAAAATGAGAAAAGGCCTCCAGGGCATGCTGATGTAGAAGCCAGGATCTGTCAGCCAGTAGGACTCCAAACAGGCTACTCAATCTTGGCAAAATGTGACTCTGTGCAACCAAAAGGTTAATCAGGAAACATGAGAATACAAGTCTACGTTTGCATCTTACAAACATAGAGATATGACCAGCAGCAGAATAGCTTTCATTGAACAACCAGTAGTAAAGAGTGCAAGGAATTAAAAAGTCAGATCCTCATTTCTAGTAGTCTGGTTTCATTACCTGTCTGTCAGGAGGGACAAAGATCTTCCCAAGGGAGGAGAGGAACTCCAAAGCAGCCAGCAGCAGCTGATCCACACACTTCTGAGGTACCAGAGCATCCACACACAGCAGAGCCTGTAGTACACACACAGCCGTCAACAGAGACATTTTCCATCTGTCTAATGTGAACTGTGAAACTGAACTGCTAATCATACCTGACAAATGACTTGAGGGTCCATGTTTTTAACTAAAATGGCTGACATGGTCAGAAGTAGCTGCAGAGTACACTGGAGCACAGGGTGGGTCTGCACCTGCAGTGAGACAGGTTGCACCAGTAATTTTTTTAACAAATAAAAAACTGAATAATTGGGCGTGCAAAATTATTCAGCCCCTTTACTTTCAGTGCAGCAAACTCTCTCCAGAAGTTCAGTGAGGATCTCTGAATGATCCAATGTTGACCTAAATGACTAATGATGATAAATAGAATCCACCTGTGTGTAATCAAGTCTCCGTATAAATGCACCTGCACTGTGATAGTCTCAGAGGTCCGTTTAAAGCGCAGAGAGCATCATGAAGAACAAGGAACACACCAGGCAGGTCCGAGATACTGTTGTGGAGAAGTTTAAAGCCGGATTTGGATACAAAAAGATTTCCCAAGCTTTAAACATCCCAAGGAGCACTGTGCAAGTGATAATATTGAAATGGAAGGAGTATCAGACCACTGCAAATCTACCAAGACCTGGCCGTCCCTCTAAACTTTCAGCTCATACAAGGAGAAGACTGATCAGAGATGCAGCCAAGAGGCCCATGATCACTCTGGATGAACTGCAGAGATCTACAGCTGAGGTGGGAGACTCTGTCCATAGGACAACAATCAGTCGTATACTGCACAAATCTGGCCTTTATGGAAGAGTGGCAAGAAGAAAGCCATTTCTTAAAGATATCCATAAAAAGTGTCGTTTAAAGTTTGCCACAAGCCACCTGGGAGACACACCAAACATGTGGAAGAAGGTGCTCTGGTCAGATGAAACCAAAATCGAACTTTTTGGCAACAATGCAAAACGTTATGTTTGGCGTAAAAGCAACACAGCTCATCACCCTGAACACACCATCCCCACTGTCAAACATGGTGGTGGCAGCATCATGGTTTGGGCCTGCTTTTCTTCAGCAGGGACAGGGAAGATGGTTAAAATTGATGGGAAGATGGATGGAGCCAAATACAGGACCATTTTGGAAGGAAACCTGATGGAGTCTGCAAAAGACCTGAGACTGGGACGGAGATTTGTCTTCCAACAAGACAATGATCCAAAACATAAAGCAAAATCTACAATGGAATGGTTCACAAATAAACATATCCAGGTGTTAGAATGGCCAAGTCAAAGTCCAGACCTGAATCCAATCGAGAATCTGTGGAAAGAACTGAAAACTGCTGTTCACAAATGCTCTCCATCCAACCTCACTGAGCTCGAGCTGTTTTGCAAGGAGGAATGGGCAAAAATTTCCGTCTCTCGATGTGCAAAACTGATAGAGATATACCCCACGTGACTCACAGCTGTAATCGCAGCAAAAGGTGGCGCTACAAAGTATTAACTTAAGGGGGCTGAATAATTTTGCACGCCCAATTTTTCAGTTTTTTATTTGTTAAAAAAGTTTGACATATCCAATAAATTTCGTTCCACTTCATGATTGTGTCCCACTTGTTGTTGATTCTTCACAAAAAATTACAGTTTTATATCTTTATGTTTGAAGCCTGAAATGTGGCAAAAGGTCGCAAAGTTCAAGGGGGCCGAATACTTTCGCAAGGCACTGTATATTTACATTACACTTGTGTGTGCATATGTGTGTGTTTAGACTTCACCTGGTCTGGACTCATTCGTAACCACAGCTGCGTGACTATCCTCGCTGCAGATGACACGCACTCGTTTTCAGGAGAGTACTGCCCTCGAACCACCACTTGGAGGGATAACAGTGCCATATTCTGGAGATTGGAGGGACTTTGTAAATATATTCATGCCAATTTTTGATTTGACATTTCCTCACTCAGCTTCCTTGCATTGTTTACTTGGCCAGATCATTCTAGTATTTAACTGATAGCAGATGGACAACATAACTGAAATACACGAACACTCTGAAGCAGAAGACAGCAATTAGTAGATGAGTGAAGACAGATCATTTATGCGTCATGTATACAGTAAATAAAATCAAGAACATTCACCGGCGTCATAAAGCCAGTAAGACTAAAATTATCAGATAACTTTCCATTATCACATTAACTGTTATTGTCTTAATACTGCATTATTGACAGTACATTAAAGGTGTGCAGAAATGCATATTGGATAAAAAAAAAAAAACTAAACTGATTATTCTTTGCAGTAAGTCCATATTTACACTGTAAAGACATCAAACCTAAACTGAATATCCACACACCCTTTCAAGAAAAAAAGACATCTTAGTCGGAAACCTGAGGTTATCGTGGCTCTGTGAGATGTCAGACTAACAAAGGATAGAGGCCAATACCAGCAACCTTATCTGTCATCTGCTCTCAACCACAGGAACAAGGTTATCTTGCTCTTGACATCACTTGTTACGATCATTGGTCAGCGACCCAGTATGTCATCAGTGCACAAGGACAGACATTATGCTGTAGCCTTGTCCATGTTCATACTGCCTCTTTCTCTCAACATATCCATGTCATGGTCACTACAGTTCCTTTGTTACATTCTGCAGTTAAATGAAAGGTAAACACATTTAGTGTTGCCTTTAGCGAAATAGAGTCTGGCAGAGTTTACTTCATCACATAGAAATTCTGAAAATGCTTGTTTTTGTTTACACACTGTTTGAACACAGCAGGCAATAACCCACCACTCATTCATTTTAGAGGGAAGTAGTACTCCTTCATTTCTTTCATTTTCTACCGCTTAGTCCCTGAACAGGGTCACGGGGGGGCTGGAGCCAATCCCAGCCGGCAATTGGGCGAAGGCGGGGTACAC